AATCCATGATCATAAAAGTTGATCAGTGCGAAACACGACAAAACAATAAACGATAAATGGGGTCATAAACATGAAACAAAAAGTTTGCCACATAGCTGTCGTTCGAAACTTTTGAAGTACATGTTTATTACACCTATTCATTGAAACATACAAAAAAAATGACCTTTTAGACATGCCTAATCTTACAATTTGCAAGTGTGCAAATTTGTTTTGTATTACTTGTATTTTTAATTATCCATACAACTTTTCTACATGTGGTGTACTTTTGGCCAACATTTGGCTGCATCGAAATAAGAATTTATAATAAAATACCAGATAGGTTCATAGGCCTGCCGGAGTATTTAAATTTAAACGAAAATTCTAAAATCTGTACACTGTCAAATTAGACATTTAAAATATTTAATCATGTCTAAGTAATGTAGAATGTTTATATTAAAAATTCATTACTTTGACTTGTGATTTACTTTGACTTATATTTATACTCTATTGACTCATAATTATAATCTAAATTTCAATTTTTTTTTTATATTAACATGTTTCACAAATATTTATACACAGAATTGATGTAGAATACGTAGTTCCATATTTTAAATAACTTTTTTACTGTATTCTTACACCTTCATGCCAATACATCAATTTCAAAGGTAAGGTCTCAAAAAAACTAACAAAACAAGTCCAAACTCGACACACATAGCTCATCTCGTCTGTTAGTTGCAGTAGCAGTTCTCGAAGTACACCTTCAGGTCACTCCATCTAGTCAGAAGGCAAGATCTCACCATACCTAACAAAACAAGCCCAAACTCGACACACATAGCTCATCTCGTCTGTTAGTTCCAGTAGCAGTTCTCGAAGTACACCTTCAGGTCACTCCATCTAGTCAGAAGGCAAGGTCTCACCATACCTAACAAAACAAGCCCAAACTCGACACACATAGCTCATCTCGTCTGTTAGTTCCAGTAGCAGTTCTCGAAGTACACCTTCAGGTCACTCCAACAAATCAGAAGGCAAGGTCTCACCATACCTAATAAAACAAGCCCAAGCTCGACACACATAGCTCATCTCGTCTGTTAGTTCCAGTAGCAGTTCTCAAAGTACACCTTCAGGTCACTCCATCTAGTCAGAAGGCAAGGTCTCACCATACCTAACAAAACAAGCCCAAACTCGACACACATAGCTCATCTCGTCTGTTAGTTCCAGTAGCAGTTCTCGAAGTACACCTTCAGGTCACTCCATCTAGTCAGAAGGCAAGGTCTCACCATACCTAATAAAACAAGCCCAAATTCGACACACATAGCTCATCTCGTCTGTTAGTTCCAGTAGCAGTTCTCAAAGTACACCTTCAGGTCACTCCATCTAGTCAGAAGGCAAGGTCTCACCATACCTAACAAAAACAAGCCCAAACTCGACACACATAGCTCATCTCGTCTGTTAGTTCCAGTAGCAGTTCTCAAAGTACACCTTCAGGTCACTCCATCAAGTCAGAAGGCAAGGTCTCACCATAACTAACAAAACAAGCCCAAACTCGACACACATAGCTCATCTCGTCTGTTAGTTCCAGTAGCAGTTCTCAAAGTACACCTTCAGGTCACTCCATCAAGTCAGAAGGCAAGATCTCACCATACCTAACAAAACAAGCCCAAACTCGACACACATAACTCATCTCGTCTGTTAGTTCCAGTAGCAGTTCTCGAAGTACACCTTCAGGTCACTTCAACAAATCAGAAGGCAAGGTCTCACCATACCTAACAAAACAAGCCCAAACTCGACACACATAGCTCATCTCGTCTGTTAGTTCCAGTAGCAGTTCTCGAAGTACACCTTCAGGTCACTCCATCAAGTCCGTAACGAAATATGAATTTTTAACCCCTACTAATTTCTAGTAAAAATATGACAAAGTGTGAATTATAGTTTACTTTTGTCGTTCGTAGTCCGAAGTCCGAACATGATGTGTAAAGTATCAACTTTGTTACGACAAATATTTTGTATTCGTACAGCGATCTTTTTTTTTCCTCACGAGCTGCTGTTTATAAGCGACATAGTGACCACTCATGACGGCAGCCGAGCGCCGACTAATATTTCTTTAAATATTTTTGTGGAATAAATCAAAAAAGTGACCAGTAAAATAACCTTTATGTCAATCACTTAAGATTCACGCGTAAGATATAAATGTGAAAGAAATAGATTTTAATCTTTATTTTTTTCTGAAACTAATTTCAACAATTTTGATACGTAATGTAGCTACCTTTTTGAGTTGAACATGTGTGCTTACATAAAATATTTTTAAATAAAAAAAATATGTTATTAAATAAGAGAAAAATGTTCCTAAACCCAACAGGATATCGTCCATTTTGAGTGAAGTGGTCACGAAAATTCTCATTTACAATATTATAAACCAAAATTTTCGATTAAAAACTATCTACCATTTGAAGATGAAGGAGGGATCTATATGTGATAATTATTACTTACATTATATTCGTTTCGTTTTGCCGCAAAATGTACCTGAAAACGCCCTATTTTTGCAGATTCCGCGAGATTTCGCAAACACGCCCTTAACAAAGACCGCCTTTGTATTTACCGCACTCGCTAGAACTAGCGTTACCAGATGTGCCGATCCGCGTGGAATATCCCGATATTCTGATGTTCGGTCATTCCGAATTTTTATAGATCTTAGTCTGTACTTTGTGCTACAATTTTGATAGGAAAAATAAATAAAATTGTAAGCTTGAATTTTTGCTCTGAAATTTTCACATTTTCTCATGAAGTTAATAGTCTACATAATAGTTAAAATAACTTAAGCTTAAAATAATACTTGTTGATTTTGTGGTATTTTAAAGGAGGTCAACTAGATTCTTAATGTTTTGTTAGTCAATGGTTTTTTTTTTTTTTTTTTTTTTTTTAATGTGAAAAGTTGCTAAACGAGCAGACGGTTCACCTGATGTTAAGTGAATACCGCCGCCCATAGACATCTGCTACAACGAGGGTTTGCAGATGCGTTGACAATGGTAAAATACCATTAAAAGAATACCTGACCTTCCAGCAATAGTTTAATGTTGATTTACAAAAAGTTTGTGATATAGCTATGCCGATTTGAAAATTAAATAGCCAATTATTTTCTCCCGTCCTATAATATTACTCAGTAGACATGGTAACATTATTATGCGTGCGGCGAAATAGTCCCCAACAAACGTTTCTTATGTACTTACCGACATAAGCGGCCGAATGCCGCTTAGGTAGTTCAATCAATACATAAAATATGCCGTCGTTTCGTTTGTGTTATTTAAACTTTTAAATCAGTTACTTTTTAGACATTACGGTGTGAAGACACGTTCGTGATTTTTATTTTTTATTCTCGATTTATTGATCAGTTATTCATGACAGAAATGCTAATGCTAAGAAATTGCTTAATGGTATTCGGTGTTGCGGAGAGAATTGCCGTCGATTTACCTTGAAACTACATTATTGGTTTTTTCGATGACAGGCAGTCTTTGACGCCATAAGTATTAAGAAGATAAGAAGAAACGCCAAAAGACAGTAAGCAAGAATGCTGAAATAAATTTGGATCAGCTGCCAGTTGTGTTAAGGAGGGGTTAGGAAGGATCGGCCCTCGTCTGCGTCCGCGCCCTATACGCGTCGAAGCTTCGCAAATGACGAAGCAACCCTTGACCTTGGTGTGTTTTAAGTTAGTGACAATGACTATCCCAAGTGCTGAAGTGCTATAACAGTGAAAGAATAGTATCGCGTAATGAAACCGACCGACACCGATAAGCACGAGTTTTCTTAGTAAACGCTGATCTCATTGGAATGTCTAGGTATAGTTTATTTATTTAAAATACAGATTTTATTGTTTTATACTCTATAATTACATTGAACTTATTTAATTCGAAATTTATTTTTGTCATTATTATGTATTATGTATCCGCCATAACATGATAATGTATCTCACTGATGTTGTGTTGAATAAATTTATCGGCGTTGTAAGATTTGTGAGTTGTAACCTTCTAAAATGTTTTTACCTTCCACTGCAAGCGATTTAATGTTTAATTCAAAATCTCAATACTAAAAAATTATAAGTTACAGTGGAAATTGTCTCATGGAATCTATTATTAATTCCATGTAAAAAATGTTTTTAAGTAGGTATGACGCGGATATTTGCTTACAAAAATAAACGTAGTAAAAGTAGTGTGTCTGTGTTTTATTTCCCGATAATGAATACCTATTCTTTAATCAATAACATATTAAGTAGGGCTCATGGACGATCAGTATAGCTATTTCGTGTCTTTCTGTTGTGACAAAATCCGATAAATTCAAATAAATTTTGATGATAAGCACGGTGTTTCATTGTATTAGAGCATCGCCAGGACCTGCAGCGTGATGCGGTCGTTATCAGTTTGGTTGGCGAGGGGCGGGCGGAGGGGACCGATAAACTTGAGGAGCGGGAAGTGGGGTAATGACGTAACGAGGAGTGGAGGGAGAGGGGAATCAGTCGGGCGATCAGGTGTATGCGTGTGTGAGTTTGGAGTGATAACACCGATGCGCGGTCAGTGACTTCTATAATCAGGGTTGTTACAGTTAATAATTTTTTAAATTTTTATCGTCAAAAAATGCTTAGATTCGTATTTTAAAATTATGCCATTTGATTCAGAGTCTGATATATATAAACGCCTTTAAATGTTACAACACCTTTCTGTAACACCCTGTATAAGTCATGGTACCAATTTCATACTTTTACGAACTATACAAGCAAAATGTCTTAAGTATTACGTAGTACATTCCATGCCATTAGATATGGCATTGATGAGCAAATTCGCAGCCCTAATCAGCGCAGAGGGCCGTATAGTTTGTGTAATAACCAGATTCCTCGCCTCGATCTCTGCGTTCTATGAAACTTTAATGTTCTACACACTGAAAGCCAACCATGTCTAACAACTTATAGCACAGTTTCTCTCTCACAGTTTCAAATTGGAACATTTACGTTTTGTACAATTAATCATTCATATTACCTTATTGTTTTCCAGTCTTAAAGTTGTGGTACCTGGAGGCAGTGTCGCTGGTGGCTGCTCCAAATGCTTGTTGGAGCAGTCTACTGTTATCATAGGGATAACGGCGCCTGCGCGGTCTGACACAACGTGGGTCATTGCACAAGCGCACGGCTTTGGGCAAGTCTGGCGCACCATCTATAAAACCACCCAATAACATAATATGACATTTTCAAAATTTGTTATCTTAAGCTTTGCTAAATTGAGCCAACAATACCAGAAATGTGCACGAAAGATCTCATCGATCCGAATACCAGCAGTGTTTTCTAATTCATTAAATTCAAAATTCACCGACATTTGTTGCAAACCAATATTAAACTATCTATCTATAACTCACATAAACAGATATTTTAATGGTGACTTTATCTTTCCCAGTTACCTACCGTGGGTAAATCTCTATTTCAGAGAGCGTGAGGGATCAATGACAATGAATACCTGGCCACTGAGCTACAACATCTACGAGTTACGGGACATCAAGCACCTAGCACCGCGCCTACGTGAACCATCTATTCTTCGATATACAGCGTGTCGTTACCATCGCGACAATAAATGAACACACGTCTAACGCTACTAGCCAATAATCATAAAAAAATATTAACGTTTAACAAAATCCATAATTTAAAAAAAATGTTTTTCAAACAAACTAATTAAGTAAAAAAGAAACAAAATTTGTAACATCCTACACAACTCGCGTCACAGCGTCGTATTACAAGCCTCTCCTTCTAACAGTATGTTTTGTCTCTTTTAAATTCATTCAACCCATTCATATGCTTTGTGACCTTTACAAATGAACTTTACGTTACGCTTTTATAGATAAGGGTGTTCTAAAATTCTTTGTTTTGGAAAATTTAATAACTCTGTAAATATTGATGTTTAAAGAATTTAAATGTTAAATACAACTTCAAGAAGTTATCCCCTATATGTGTGTTCATTTATTGTCGCAATGGTAACGACAAGCTGTATAAGAGGAGTCACTGACACGGGATGAAAACATGTAACAAGACACTGAAGAAGATAAGCCAATTTTTACCATTCGTCAATTGTAACAGCCGTCTATATATCGGCCAAACAACGAGCAATCAGGACCCGCGTGAAAGAATATATTGCGAACCCTAAACATAACGGGTCAATGGCTCCGTGTCGAATTTATCAAAGTATTGACTTTGGCGCCAGGGATAGTAGTTGGATTCGATAATAGTTCCCACACGGGACAAATATTTGTGTGCCCCACTGATATTTTTTCGGTTCTAGGTGTATGCCCACGTGAAATTTATTTATGTAAAAATTGCTTTCACGACAGAACATTGTTTTTAAGAGAGGACACATAAAACCACCCAAACAATATATCAGACTTGATAAACCACGCATCCTCGCAAAAGAACACCCGCGTGAAAACTTACCAAAGATGGTTCCCGAGGCTATTGAATTAGAGTAATATCCAAATTTCCATTGAGAAAATGGTTGGGTTCTACCGACGACTTACGATATCATTATCAATAAAATTAAATCTAGACGTAAGCGCATTTGTACTGCAAAACTTCATGATACTATTACCCTTTGCTGCGTGGAACAAAATCAATAAATCGCAAACTGACGGTAGCCCGAGTTAACAGAAACATGAAGGCTTGTCAGGCCGCCCGTAACAAAGAAAGCTGTTGTAAAGCATTCGAATCGTCTTTGTGAGTTCGTAACAGTCTGTTATTTTAATATAAACATAAACCATGATAAAATCCATTCATCAGTTTTATTCAAATGTACTCTTATAATATTCCCGTAAATAAAAGAATTTATTATCAAAAAGCTAAGGAAAAATAAATATAGTTGTTAGAAATCTGAAACTGTAAGTAAACTGTGATTAGTAACTTACAAATAAATTATTAGAAAAGTACCGAGAAAACTGGCAAGACCTGTTTTCAATTAAAATTCTCCGAAATTATAAGGAAACTCTTAAAGTCAAATATTTCATTCAATTAAAAGCATTTTAAGTATACTTTTCATGAAGTACTGTGGGGCCAAGAAGAGGGTTTTGTTGAAAAAAGCTAACATTTAATCCGCAAAGGTTAAGATCTGTTAAACGATTTAAATTTTTAAAAAGGCAGTAAAATTATCTACCAGGAACCAGAGATGGATTAAACACTGAGAGCGCTGTAGGCAAGCATCTCATCGGCGCCCCTACATTAAAGCTGGCATGTAAACCCCAAAATCGCCTACCATAACGTACGTTCCACAGGAGTGGCCCTAGCACTGAACCCTGTGGAACTCCACACATCACCTCTGTTGTCCGGTGACAGTCTCGGCACGGGTACACCACACTACGGTGCGACAAATAGGCTTTGCGCAGGTAGAGAGGCACTCCATGGTACCGGAGCGCCTGCTTTATGCAAACCCAGGGCAAGGTGTTGAAGGCGTTAGCGATGTCGAGAGACACCGCCAAGACTACCTCACCATGGGAAACCGCCTCCTGTGCGAGGGACCTCACTCGCAGCACGGGGTGTGGGTGGTTGACCGACCCCTGCGGAACCCAAACTGTCTGTCTGCCAGGTTCGGCCGTGCTGCAAATGATCGATTATGTGTCCCGCGATCACTCTTTCGAAGAGGTTTCCCACGTCGTCGAGAAGCACGATCGACCGATAGGCAGAAGGAGAATCCGCTGGACGCCCTTCCTTCCGGATGAGGACGAGTCTGCCTGTCTTCCACCTCTGTGGGATAATGGCTTGAGCCAGACAGGCGCTAAACAACGTCCTCAACCTAGGCTCCAGAGCGTCCTCCAGGGCCAGAACCCTTGCTCGACCCGGGCTGCCGTCGGGACTCGGGGTAGGAGGAGGCCGTAACCACTGAGGGAACCTCAAACCCGTAGGTTCTGGCTAGCCCACCGGTTCTGCGTTTTATTTAGCTTTAGTAGTCTAAGGACTAAAAGCGTGACATAAGTTATACAAAAAAAAAGCGCGCGTCAAAGACAAAAAAGTTGAAAGTCACTCTCCACTCATTTGTTCGCCCCTGACCGCTTAGCTTCCGCCCCCGCATCGCACCCTCATCGCCGCAATTTATGAAAAAGAGACGTCCGATTCCGATACTCACAAGTCGCGATCGACTTGACGTATCTGAGATCGTGTCGTATCGTATATCTTGTAGATCATGTACCATCGAAAAGATTGTTTGAAGACGCAAGTTTTAGTCAGTCCCATCCGTTAAGTTTATCTTTTAAAGTAATAGTTTTTATTGTGTCAGTATGTGGCTTCATTACTAGCGCAATTCATTTTATGCTATATTATATATTTTTCCTTATTTCACAACTCCGCCCGCGCGCCCCTTTGTACCCACGCGCCCCTAGGCACATGCCTAGTTTGCTTTAAGGGTAATCCGCATCTAGGAATATAATGATCAATTATCTTTTTACGACTGTTATCACATTGTAATCCAGGTTTTACGCGCTGTCACCAGATGTTCTATGATGTTATTAAACGGGAATTCAAAAATGACATCTGAAAGCAATTTTATTAGAGTAATTTCCAAAATCAAACTTAAACCTTTATTAAATTCAACCCTTAAATTTAAACCTTTAGTATTCGGGAACGAAATTCAGTTTTTTTTTAATTATGCTTGTTTCTACCAAATACTCTTAAATGCTCAGTTGACATTATGGTATGCACAAATTTTGCAAATAATATGACAATATTCGTGAAATTAACTATTTTTCTCGTTCAAATTAAAATAATTCTTATTTAGAATAAAATAACTCTATAGCTATATAAGTAAACGAAAAATATGCTTATTATCTTTAGTTACATCCCACAAGAACGGAAGGAAGAACGGTGTTAAAAATCCTAAGTCATTCAACAACTCTACCTTTTCATGTTACTCAATACGTATTCTATTTCCGTCGTGTTGGACATATTGCACCTAATTGTGCGGCAATAAAGTTAAGTATGCCAATTTACGTAGAAAGGCGCTTCAATAAACCTAAAAATAAAGCCATTTGCGTAATGTTTAGTAAACTGTGACTTTACAAAGCATGATGTCCGAAGATTAAGATGCAAGTAGATGGTGAGTAAGACATGGTAATAGTTTACAAATAGAGCGAAGGACGTACTAAAGACATTCAAATCGTTCGTTCGTCCGTTTACTATCGCATATTTACATTACTCTTTATCCCGTAATTTTGTGTATTGATTTTTTAATACACATGAACTCACTCCATAGACATATAAGCCTAACTTTATTATGACTAAAATAAAAACAAGATCAGCACAGAGAACAAATGAATGAAATATACATAACACATTAAAAAAATAAAAGACTAGGTTGTTAAAAGGTTAAAAAAACGTTTTAGTAATTACATGACGCTACAAAGAAATGTCATGAACAAAGAAACAAACAAAAATAACTTTACGAAATAAATAATTTAAAATCCATAAAATATCGCGTACGGTACAGTACTTACCAAGTGGTATTAAGCGCCCACTAGAATATAGTGTGCGTTTGTTTACCTTTTATTTTTTTTACTTTTTTAAGCGAAAGTGTGTGGATCTTCGTTCTTTCACGTGGTAAGTAAGTACCGCAACCTCATAGAAGACGGGCGTAAACTAGTGCTACATTTTTGCTTTTCGTCTGGGGAGTGAGGTAAACGGAGCCCACTTTATTAAAAGTTGGCTACGCATATTGTATTGTAACCTCACAGGTGCTGTAAATATATGGTGCCATGGGTAGCGGTTATCACCTAACGTCACAGTGAACCGGCAGTTCAATTGTCAAATAAAAAAGTACCTTTATTATATCCATAACTTTATATAGTGGTTTCCCTTTGTAAAGTTTTTGATTACATATTAGCTGATAATAATCGACTATTCGCTGTTTGACCGTGCTATTCTCTCTCTCCATCGCCAACCAGTCTAATCCACCATCGCTACAGTCCCATTTGTTATCTAAAAAGGAAAATGAAATTCTTTCAAATATTTTACACAATAATTATATATTTCCAGTGTGGACTTTCTAAGTTAAGGTGTTTCAAAAATGCTTCACTTCTTATTATTTGGGTTGTCTTTGAACCTTTAGATTATCAGGTCTCTGGCGGGAAATGACAAGTGGAGGGATGGGTACCGTTACATCCCTCACCAAGCAAAATGTAAAAATCTCACGGATTGTACAGCAGCTTTTGTATTTGCCCGGTTCTACCACATTTCAAAAGTAACAGCCAATATACAAGTCATATCGCAATAATTTTGAGAAAATAATATAACATGTAACAGAAAAAATAACAAATATAGCTTCGTCAATAAAACTTTTGTATATAATACAAGAATAGCTGGGCCGCCGGGGACTGGGGGCCGTACACCTTGGACTTCCATTCATGAGGGGTTTTTTGCCATAGTTGCCACGCTTGGCGAGCGGGTTGGCAACCGCAGTTCTTCCAGACACCTCGCACCTTCAACGCTGCTGCCCGTTATTGGCCTGGATATTTGGGTCTGGAGAGTTAGGATGGTTATCCCGCCATCTATCGGAGGCCACCGGATGTTTGTGGCTTATCCCTTATGCTTATGTGCGGGAAGTCGATGGATGCAGGTGGCTCAGGATCGTACTTCGTGGCAGTCTATGGGGGAGGCCTATGTTCAGCAGTGGACTCAAACAGGCTGAAATGATGATGATGATATAATACAAAAGTTACCGTAATAATGTAATGCACGTGTGGAAGTAAAATTAAGTATTCATTTAGTACTTCTGCCACATTCCATAGAGAGTGGAGGCAAATCATGTTATGAGTGATATTATATAGAGTTTTTACGACCACCCAGATCCAGAATAATTATTTGTGGATCACACAAATTCCTTTCCCGTGTGCGATTCAAACCTACGGCACCCGAAGCTTAGATTAAGAATGCGCGGTATTTAATAAACATATTATATTAATTGGTAGACATCAATTAAATCAGGGATAGACGGAGTAAGCATATGGCACGACGATATCTGTATCACCGGTCCCGACAATAATTCGCACTTCAAAAGGTTGAGTGAAGTTTTAGGTAGGCTGGATGAGGAGGGGTTGCGCCTTCAAAGGAAACAACCATTGCGTGAAACCACTCGTTACCCACACAGTAGGCACATCAAAAACACAATATTTTGTACAAAAAATGATAGCATAAAAATCAAACCAACAATACAATATTTGCACAATAAAGAAGAGCCCGTGAATCCTGAACGTTGTTAGTTACACCTAGCTTCAAATGACACCTAAACAGCTGGTTGCTTGGCTTGCTGGATTATATTAATTGGTAGACATCAATTAAATATTGGCAAAATATACAACATACGGAATCTAAAGTTTTAAATTATAGTAAGATACAACTAATGTAACTATACAAATACTAATTTGACACAAGATACATATACAAAGTAGAAAAAAAATTATATGGATTAATTAATTCAAACTAGCATAATTGTTATCTCTTTCTGAGGCTCCCATATCAAATCTCTTATAGTCACAGTATATTGTATATTTATCTGCATATCATGACTGGAAACAAAAACCAATGGAAAGAAAAATTTTAGCCGCTCAATATTTTACCAATAATAACAATAATGTCTTATGAGTAAACGGACATCCAATGTTTTATAGTCGTTAATTAAGAGTTATTTCAAGATCGGTTTAAACTTTCGGCACGATAAAATTTCCTTATTGTAAAGTTTGCCCCGTTTTTCGCTTATTTATTGTTTTAATGATTACGTTTCACATTTTATTGAAATAATTTGTAAATGCATGACGTTCATTGATGGTTTATAAATATTTTTCTATAAGTACCATAATAGAAAACAGGAAAATATTTAAAAAAATCGGTTACAAAAAAGTATCAAGTTACCTATCAAGCTAACTCGAGCGATGTTGCGTGTCTAGGTTTCATGAATGTTTTCTTCCAGAGCTATTATTTACAGGGCCAGGAGAAGAATCCATTTCCATAAGAAAAAAACCAGATCACTCCAAAACTAGTCAATTTCACAACAACCGTTTTCGCCGTAATAATCGACGCTTAGTGATTGGCTAATTGGGACATTGTTAGGCTTGAGTTTGACGCACATTTTGCTATTTTTGCACTGACCATTAAAAGTTAAACCAATTTTTGTCGGTGATATTGATGTTTTAGGAGGAGGGCTTTTATTTTATAAAAATGTGCTAATTTTACAATGATGGTAACGCTAACAAAATGTCGCTTTTAAAAAAAATGTATATTGGATAAATGTATATTTCACCACTTGACCCCACATCTGATTGACGAGTTTTACATATTTTCGAAATATTTTTTGTTGTTTTTATAAATATTCATATTTTCCTAAGATGCGATTTTGACTCAGGCTGCTAAAGAATATTGAATTAAAAGCGTGTGCGCAGTCAGTGAGCTATCACGACTCTTATACAGTTAAGAGTAAAGTGTAAATTTACTTTATCTCAATGAAAAGTAGGCCGTCATTTAAAATAGTTGATATGCGGTTTTACTTACTGCTTAGATACACGCGTTCTAAATGCGGAGGCCCTTTTATTAAGCGAGCTCTTATATGCCGCAGTCCATTACCCCGTAAATCCAATTCACGTAATTCAGGCATATATAACACGAGCTCAGCTGGTACTTCCCACAGTGAAGTTAATCCGTGGAATCCTATTCTCTGAAATCACAATAACCCCAACTAACTTCCTTACAATATTATGGGTAGTATAGTAGAAAAATCGAATATTAAAGTGTATCCTATTTTTACTTTTTTACTTAAATAATACTTATCGCTTAGTGACCGGGCCAAACGAGGCAGACCATCGTTTTTAAAGGTTCGGTACCAATAGGGTATAACAGGACCCTATTACTAAGTCACCAGGCTGTATCTCATGAACCTTGATGGTTAGACAGTTGAAATTTTTACAGATGAAGTATTTCTGTTGCCGCTATAATAACAAATACTAAAAAAACAGAATAAAAAGTATTTAAGGGGGACACATGACTTATGGTGATTTTTCTGTCACATTAAATAGGGATTTTAGGGAGGACCTTTGGACCTTTGGATTTTTGGACCTTTGGATCTTTGAACCTCACAATAGAGAAATATCCCCTGCCGCGAATTGAAGAGGTATTTGCTAAAATTGCAGGGGGCGACGATATAGTAAAATCGACTAAAAAAACGCATATAACCAGTTTCTTTGAGATGAACGAGCTTACAACAATTAACACACACAAAGATCTTTTTAAAAATACTAGGTTAGTTTATGGATTAGCTAATGCGCCAGCTATATTCCAAAAGAGCATGGAAACCCTTCTATCAGGGATAGACGGAGTAAGCATATGGCACGACGATATCTGTATCACCGGTCCCGACAATAATTCGCACTTCAAAAGGTTGAGTGAAGTTTTAGGTAGGCTGGATGAGGAGGGGTTGCGCCTTCAAAGGAAACAACCATTGCGTGAGACCACTCGTTACTGACCCTCACAGTAGGCACATCAAAAACACAATATTTTGTACAAAAATGATAGCATAAAAATCAAACCAACAATACAATATTTGCACAATAAAGAAGAGCCCGTGAATCCTGAACGTTGTTAGTTACACCTAGCTTCAAATGACACCTAAACAGCTGATTGCTTGGCGAAGAACTTAGAGGATTGCAAACGTTTATATACATACATGGTTTTCATAATTAAATATTAAAAAAATACTCAGTTCATTTAATAATTTTCAAATTTCATTGTGATTGAATTTTAAATGACTGTAATTATACTTACTTCGATCTTACTGGACTGTTTAAATCGGCCGTTGAACATTGTTAATACTGTGCAGTTGATGAATTCCAGAGCGCGTAGTTCTGGAAATATATGCTGAAGGCGTGCCACGTTGAAACATGCGCTCGGCCAGTCCAAAATTTTCAAAAACTTTATTTCATATCTGCGAATAGTAACAAGAATGTAAGCTGAGAACCTAATGTTCTGAAAATATTTAATATAGTATCATTTACACCGCCTTGGCAGGTAACGTTAGCTTAGGTTACAAAGCCTTTTGTTAAACAATCCTTGGCTGACTTGTAATCCTTATTTAAGATTAATGCAATAAAACGTACATAAATAAAGTTAATTAGTAGTAGTGAATAAAAATTACACACACATATAAGCATAAATGAGTGAGTTATAATAAACTAGCGATCCGCCCAGGCTTAGCACGGGTGCAATGTATTATACAAATAAACCTTTCTCTTGAATCACTATCTAATAAAAAAAAAACCGCATCAAGATCCGTTGCGTGTTTTTAAAGATCTAAGCATACATAGGGACCAACAGACAGCGGGAATAGTTTGTATACTATGGTAGTGATTACTCTTAAACTGGGTAATCACTATTTTTTCTAGCTTTTTGTTTTGTAATCAATATACTCTAATTCTATAAAAACGAATTTCGAATCCACCGCAGGCGATGCCCGAATTTACGACTGTAAGCAAATTGGAGACAAAGGGAAATTGTAGAATGCTTTGAGAAATAAATAATATAATCATTACATTTTCTCATCCTTAAGGGTGAAATTATTTGAAATCAAAAGGATTTGAAGTTACAAATTGTTCAATCATAGGTGTTCAATGACATTGTAATTCAAAAGTAGTATAAAATATCTTTGTATGTGCTTGTAGAATAGTTATTAAAATATTACATTATGCTGATTTATTATTTTCAAAGGAGTATTAAATAACATTTTCCTTTTACCTGTGTAAAAGGAATGTTTACGCTATGTTTAACGTTTCTCAAAATGTAACATCGGACGTTGTGTAAAAACATATCCCGCCGATAGCCCTGGGGGATATGTTTTTGCTTTACGCGGGAGCTTTTGTGTACATTAACATATTTATTTATGCAAACTTACTTTACTTCTTCAACCCATTCGCTTGTCAACCCGTACCTACATAATAAGCCAGTATTTTTCATAACACAAGCAGCAGTTTCTGTGTGTTCACTTAGAGAACAAATCCTGCTTAAATACAAATCATTTCTTCTTATTGTTTGAACTGGAATGCTTAAATGTGCAACCACCAACAATATCACAGCCTCAGGCACTGTAACAAAATACATAACTTTCATTTTTCATTTAACCATTTGCTGCTATCCGTTCATAAAATACAATAATTAATAATTACGTCGTGTTTATTAGATTGTACATTGCTGATTAAAATTTTTGACTGAGACTGGTTTTTAAAAATTTGTTCCGCGATTTACAGAATTTATTTATATCTTTTTCAGCTGTAAATAACTTTTTAAAAGGTTATTTATAGCTCTTAAGTAGTTCCATAAACGGTGTCAAAATTCAGCAATATGATTGTTTTCCGTGAAAAATGTTTCAGCCAATATTGATGATCGTTTACTGGTGGGTCAGGAGTTGATAAACGTACAGAGTTAGTATTTGTCGGAACAACACACTTATTAGACACGAATACATAACGGACCACGGGCAAAACAATAACAATATTAAACAAAAATAAAAAAGTATATGTTACCAATGTACGCAAGGAAGAAGTTATGCTTCTTAAGCGTTTGTTACGCTAAGGTAAGGTAAAAAATAATTTAAAATAATAAAAATTTTATCCACAGTGCTAGTACTATTTGCTTTTGAAAGAGACTTTATGAACACTTGATTACGGTTTCATTAAATAACTTGGAATTGCCAGAGGTCAGAGGAATTGTCGGTTATTCGCCGATGTACCACAATGAGCATTTCATGGGAGAGATATTAGCGAAGTCGATTCCGGAAACCATCCGAGAGTAACTGATTACTGCGGAATGGGAACTTATTCTAGAAGGAAACACAAACAAGTTACTTAAGCAAGAGAGCACGCTGCGAACAAAACATGTATAATGTATATGTATATTAAAGAAACAAAAAATTGCTATTAAATTTTATTTTGTAAGCAGGTACTCTACGAGTAGGTACTTTGAAGTTTAATATTATTTTTCATCACTACATAAAAAGCTCATAATATTAAAAAATATTAAAAAATTCATAAATATTAATTTATCTCAACCAAAAAAATTAGAAACCCATATGTTCTTTTTTATGTGCGAAGTGGCGCTTCACCTGATGTTAAATGCTGTCGCCCATGATCATTTGCAACACCCGTAGGGTTGCAGATGTATTGCCACCTATTTAATAAAGTGGGCCCGGTATGTTAATCACCAGACGAAACGCAGAAGTATAAAACTTGCACTTCACTTCTTCTGTGAGGTCATGGTACTTACCTGGACGGACCTGCCCATTCGTGCAACAGCCGAAGCTGCTGCGTGGCTCTACCACCGTTAAATAAGGTATAATACGTAATTAGTTGTTTTAAGTATACCTTGATTCTGATCTCATTTTGTTTTTATTGTATTCTTTGGTTCTTATTTACAAACTGTCTCGTACTTGACAAATTACTTATCTAACGATAAAGTATGACGTTGCAAACATGTCACATAGAAATAAGAAGCTGTAGTTAATTTAAACCCATATATCGAAAATTATCTCTTTTAAATACAAGTGACCCTTGTAGTCTCTTTTAAACCAGGAGAACCGAGCTTTGCTCGATTTTTTTTTGGTAAATCGTGTACTTTGGAAATAAAAAAAGATAAAAAATAAAGAAAGCAATGATCTGGAATAGAAAAAAAGTAATTAACTGCGGCCTTCTGTTTCGAGGCCGCACGATTACCGTCCGAGCTATTATAACATTTTTTTTTCGGCGAAATTTACCGTCATATTCGATTGATATTTTCCATTCTCTGAAAACAGGGATAAAAGAACATTTTCTAAAAATGAAACGTAGCTATCAATGTTTTGCCCCCGAATCTAAGCACATACTAAATTTCATGAAAATCACTGGAGCCGTTTCCGAGATTCCGATTATTTATATACACAAAAATTGCTCGCTTAAAGGTATTACATAATAGTCTTATATCCGTATTTATATACAAACTATTATATACTATCTTTGTAAAACATTTATTTTCAATCAAAATTTACATAACAGGAGCTTTTGACACAATAACACAAGGACAGAAAGTTAACAAATGATAAATTAGTGATAGATAATATTGTCGCTCTCCTATAAATACATCGTACAAAAATAACCGAACATCAAATAATGGGCCATAAAGTGTAAAATGTAATTTTAAAGTGTATATGTTAATGATTTACCTCGTGCCTTGCGGAAGAAAAAAACCAGTCAAGTGCGATTCGGACTCGCGCACGAATGGTTCTGTACAATTATCTCTCCATATCAAAACGGCATAAAATCATGTCTGCTGTATGGGAGCCCTACTTAAATATTTTTATTATTATATATATTGGCAACAGAAACACATCATCTGTGAAAATTTCAACTGTCTAACTATCACGATTCATGAGATATTTGTAATAGGGTCCTGTTGTGTTTTTTTACCTGTTTGTTTATTTTAATGAAGGTCCGTACCTTAAAACGTCGAAAATTATGTTTCAGGCTTATGAATAGAAATCATTTAAATATCAATATCAATCAAATATATTTATTTATATTTAAAAATATACGTCATTGTAATACCGAAATACATAGGAGCCTCACAGTGCTCACTTTATACTTTGTGTGTTATGTCCAATAGAGGAATAACCCATATGTAATCGATCTTTATCCGCTGTTGTTCATAACCAAAACATTTTAATGATCCTCGGCTACCGAAGCAAACACTAACCAAAAGCAAAAAAATGACCAACTTTTATTATTCCCCTATCAAAAATGAGACTATAAAACTATAGCTTCAAACGAATAATACTAAGTATGGAAAGTGTTATTCCGTCAGTGATACCACACGTCAAATGAACTTGGCTTTGCTAATTGAACAAGACGATTTCTTTATAGTTATTGTTTCAAACAATTTATGGTATCTGTATACAAACGTCCGTCTCGACTGATACCTGTGCGTGGGGATCATAAAGTGGTAGTAATTATATTATCACATACGTGGCACATGCTTGTTTTCGTTAAATATTACTGCAAATTTCGTGACAAGCTATTTTAAACAGATTAATAGGACAGTCCTCTAAACTGGGATTTATAACTCTAATCTAATGTTATATTATTAGATTTATAAAGCCTTACATATCCTGTTTGTTCTTTAAATAAATAATTGTGCGTCAGGAAAATAAATTGTATCAAATAAATATGCCTATCTGACAACGAAAATATATTCTGCAAACTTAAACGTTTAGTTTAAAAAATAACCTTTCCTTATGAATGTTTTATACGCTAATATAATTAATATTCACATATATTCTTGGTTATTCTTTGTTATCCTTTTGTTCTTTCTTTGTTATCCTTTTACAAAATTTGATGAAACTTTTCTTTCCAACAAAAGTTTAGAAACGACGTTAAATCATAATGTTCAATAATAACACGTTAATCAAATGTTTTTTTTAATAAATTAAAGGTTACAAAGAAGTACGGTAGTAGGGCCACGCAGCATTCGGGTGTTGCACGAATGAGCAGGCTCGTCCGGGTAAGTACCACGACCTCACCGAAGACCGGCGTAAAGTGGAAGTATAATACCTTCGCGTTTCGTCTGGTGAGTGAGGTAGCCGGAGCCCAATTTTCAAAAGGTTGTCAACGCATCTGCAATCCTCGGGTGTAGGAGATAACCATGGGCGTCGGTATTCACTCAACATCAGGGCAACCGTCTGCTTGTTTGGCAACTTTTCACAAAAAAAAGTTAATTTAAACCAAATGTGAATTACTCGAATTCAAAAGTGCCCAAAGCTGTATACAAAATCAATCAATCATCAAAATTTTTATTCTAAAAATTAACCTTGCCAAAATTCAGGTGACATTACCTACACAAATTGTTTTGATGATAAATTATTATCCCGCATTAAAGATCGAAATATTATCTATTATTAGTTATAAAAAAAATTGAAGATTTTGGTCACAACTTTTTATTCTATTCCTTCTATTTTCTTTAAGTAAAGTCATATTTCTTAATTAATAAAAAAAATAGTCAAGGCAATCTATTCGTAATTTTAAAGTTTTTATTTATCTTCTATGATTTTTATATCATTTTAAGAAATCAATGCAAATAATATTTAATTTAATTTCCCATACGGTTTTTGTTTATAAATCGTTAAATTAAGAATAGTTTGAAGACAATGTTCGTGTCTTATTTTTAAGTGTTTAAATGTTTTTTGCAAAAATAATACCTATAATACCTAATATGTTTAAATATACATACTTTTAAGCTTCATTTCCTCCAAATACACTTATTGTGAATTTCCTTCTAACTGACTATCAAATAAACGAAATTCAAGCGTCCATTATTAAAACATTTAATGAAATCACTGAATCAATCTGAATAATAATTTTAGTAGCGTATTTTTAAAACACAAAGTTTTTCACGCAACACTCGTGAAAATTCGGTTGATACAACAGCGTAGAGCGAGGCCAACACTCAAACCACGACTGTGGGCCTGAAAATGGAAATCTCGATCACTGATATCGGAAAACTACGTTTACTGGATCAGACAAAGACATAAAAAAAGATATTAACGAATATCGTGTGGAAAACTTTCTCTGGAATAAATTCTTCGTCTACAATATTATTTTGTAAGCAAAGCAAAAAATGTTAAGCATTAAATAATATAAATTTTTAAAGTTTTTTAAAGTGCTAATCTCTGCACTTAAGATTTAACATTAAAACATGTAGAACAAGTAAGAAAAGATTGTCGCCACTGTGGGAATCGAACCAAAGTGTGCCGAAGACGTGGGTTCGATTCCCACAGCGGCGACAATCTCTTCTTACTTGTTCTACATTAAATAATATAATAGAAATTTTACCATTATAGATTATTTTTAATCGATTACAAGAAAAACGTTGCTTTCCTTACGGAACCTATAGGCCAATATATACAGCAAATTGCTTTTTTTTATTTATGAAACGATTTAAATAAAACTAACACTAAATGTTAAGTAAAGCTTACTACAATGCATTAGTGAACGGTTCAAAAGTTGAATGTTGCACCCAAATCAGTTAAGCTGTTTCTGAGATTATTTCTGCGCAAACGCACAGAAAAATGGACAAAAATTTTAACAATCATTATTTTGGGTTCTATTGCGTTGATAAAGGTAAGGCATTAGGAAAATAATAGTTTCTCTCAAATATCTTCCATGTACAGACATATAATAAAAATGTAACTGATACATTTTTATTATATGTATAGGTTTTTATTGCATGATTATTCTATTCTGAAGAATGTTACAATGATGTTGAATTTTGAAATAGTATATAAATAATTTTGAAATCACATTTTTCTGCTTTTGTTTAAAAAAAAAATTATCAATATTTCGAAAAATAAAGACGTGATACACTTTAAATCATGTTAGGTACAAATTTGCGGCGTTTAAACCGTGAGTTAAAACTTGGACATGTAATAGAGAAGTAAATGTAAACAATATGAGACTGCAGACGACGTTAACAGGCAATCAAATTTTTAAGGCAATCAAAGTTTTAAAGTTCCATCGATTGAAGACAGTCTACAAACTTTTGAAGCAAAACATGGAAGATCGAATTATCAGTTCGACGGACGCGACGATAGCATTCTTTTTTTAATGTTGGGAAAATAATTATTTTTAGTTGAAACTTTAAATAGGCAGTAATCAAGATTGCTAACGATACTTCTGTGTTAACAGTTAAATATCAGAAGGTTTTTTAGGCCTATTCTTGTATCTTGTATTAACTGATGTTTTTGCTTTCAGTCCCGAGACTATTAAAGCTTCATCGGACGCAGAACCGGTGGGCTAGCCAGAACCCACGGGTTTGGACCCTCCGCTATGGGTAGGGTCGCGCATGTGCTCATGCGTGCTTTTAACTACTATGGTGTGTCATCTAAGGGCCGTCGAGGTCGCTGGTTCGGACCGAGACCCCGACGGCCGTCGACTGTGCATTTAGCTAATCGGTGGCTGGGAGCGGTGAGAACCGCCCCGTAACGCGGGTGTACCTTGTGTACGCGTTGTGTGGGTCTCGCCGTGCTCGGAGGCGAGGGCGAACTGGTGTGATTGTTGTTACACTAACTGTGGGTGTAGTGTTATCCGGCGGGACCCCCGGCGATGGGTCCATCGTATCTAAGTCCCTCTTCGTCGACCGGGTCGATGAGGACGTTTCGCGGGCGACGCTTGTTTACGTTCGCGTTTGTGTCCGGTTGGTAGTTTGCTGCGCTTACCACCAGAGGGTTGGGATGATGCTGGGCTCTATCGAAGAACCGTTTTGTCAAATCTTTAAAATGAGCGCGAATCGTCGGGAGTCTGCAATCGCTGTGCAGGTCGACGTTGCGCTGATACCATTGCGCACCGGTTGCGCGGCGGATAAACTTGCTTTGAACTACTTGCAATTTGTTAATGCGCGTAGGATTTATATGTGCGAAGATCATGCAAGCGTAGGACATGATTGGCCTTACGCAAGCTTTATATAACAGTAGTTTATGCCTTAAGGGCATTTTACTATGCTTATTCGTTAAATTGTGTAGCCGGCCGGAGACGAACGCGGCTTTATTTCGGACTTGATTGATGTGCGTAGTGAAAGTCATACGCGAGTTGAAAGTGACTCCTAAACATTTGACCGTTTTCTCCCAGGGGAGAGTTTGGCCGTATAGTGATATTTGCCCCAACTTTCTGTACTGGCGAGGACCTTTGTAACGGTGTGGCGTATGGGGGTTGGGGGTGCTATTAGGTCTAACTAACGTCGGTAGAGATTCGCGGGAGCCTGCTTTCAGACTGCGGGCCAACCGCCAGTAGGCGGTGTGCGATGGCTCGATGTCCTCTAGGAGAGTGTCCCACGTTGTGTGTCGGTGTTCCGATACACGATCTTTGACTTCTAGCTGAAGGCGTCGAAGTAGGGTTCGGTTCGATTCCGATCGGTATCGGTCGAAGGCGCGTTTGGCTGCATTTTTCTGTCTAATTAGCAGTCGCAGGTCGGGCGGAAAGTTAAACCGTCGGTTGCCCGACAGTTTCACCGTCGTTCCGAGTCTGCGACTGCAGACCTAATAGTTTCGCGGAGACTCGCTATCGCTCGATTTGCATCATCGAACGTAGCTATCGCCTCGGGTAAGTCTACTAAGACCTGGGGGTCCAAGGCCTTGAGTTTGACCTCAAGACGATGCCAGTCCACTACGGGTTTGGTCGGAGGAACCGCGCCGGCGTTCTGGCCCAGTTTACACAGGACGGGTCTGTGGTCTGAGTCTAGTTCATGGATTGTCTCTATCGAATCGATGTCGAGCGAGACCTTCCTGAATAACATTATGTCTAGGACACTCGGTGACGCGTGCTGGTAGTTGTCCACCGTAGGATACCTAGTGGGAGTCGCGGGAGCGACTATACTGAAATTTAGGTTATCGGATAAGCTAAAGAGATGCTTTCCGTTGTTGTTAGGGATGCTGTTGATGTCCCATGAGCCGTGTTTGCAGTTTAGATCTCCTGCAATTATCACGGAAGGGCCTAAGTTAAGAAGCGTATCTAGGTCGCTTTGAAGGAGGGTTCTATTCCCCGAGAGGTAGGCTGAAACTAGTACAAGCGGCCTGTGGCCGGTGAGCGCTAACCTACACGCGGATGCCTCTATTTGACTTAGCTCTGGAATGTCGAGCGGGCAACAGTGCAAGGACCGTTTATAATAAATTAGTGTGCCTCCCAGACGGTTTGCTAACCGGTCGTGGCGGACAATATTGTAATTTGCGATTCTGGGATCGCGTACGCTAGGTTTCAAGAATGTCTCTTGCACTAGGAAAATATCTACGTTATAATCGCGAAGGAATTCCGCGATTTCATCCCTTTGACCCTTTATGCCGTTTGCGTTGAAATACGAAACAACCAGAGCCCGAGGTTTTGTTCTACCTGCGGTTGTATTAAGGTGTTTTTATGGGTCTAATTAACGACGCGGCGGAGCGCGGTTTTATTGCGCGGACTATTGTTCTTTACGGTTGGCTCGTAAAAGCCCAAAGGGCTTCCACAAGCGTTTTGTGTTGGCTAATTGCCCTAAGACGCTCGTGGCCAGATGTGGCGGCCGCTATTTTAGCGGACAATACGGCGAGTTCCTGCCCATTAATTCTATCTAATAAGCTGCAGATGTTAGCTATTTGCGCGAAGGGGTCGTCCTTCTTTTCCGCGAAAACTGACGGAATTGGCTGCATCTGCAGCCGCGGCGCCGTTTGAGAGGCGGGCAGCTGTTGCGCGATCGGTCGTGAGGCGACCGGGATTACCGGCGCGGTTACCTGCGCGGCCACCTGGGGTTTCGCCCAGGCGTTAATGACGGGTACGGGCGCGGGAATGTATTTAACGGGCGCGGGTTTGACGTTCGCGGGAGATTTTCTCGCGGGAGTTTTCGGGGCCTTAGCGCAGCCTCTATAACTAGCCGGATGGCCGGTAGTGTGGCAATTTACGCAGTCCGGTGGATCCTCGTGCACCTCGTGCACTCGGTTGTGCCGTGGTCACCGGTGCATTTTACGCACCTTGTCACGTCTCTCTCTCGCGGCATCAGTCAAACTTGACTTGACGCTTTTTGATTTGACGGACTTTAACGCTCAGGTGTTTAGTAAGAACGGAAAACATTACGGTAACGGAAAATCAATATTATTTTAGGCCATCGCCGGCATACAATGTTATTTATCCTGTAAGGACACTTAAGGAGTTGTGGTACAGCTTTTTACGGGCGCCGGAAGATAGATAATTATATAATAGCGAACAAGTCTGCAGTTTGTGACCACATTTTAAATAGGCCCAACCACTACATCAGGTTTGACAAACCACAGATCCTTGCAAAAGAACACCGATTCCTCCCAAGGATGATTCGCGAGGCTATTGAAATTAAAAAACACCCTAATTTCAATAGAGAAGAAGGTTGGGTACTACCATCAGCTTGGGATCCTGTCATCAATAAAATTAATTCTTGGCCCAAACGAACCACTACTGCAAGACAAGATACAATTAGCTCCCTCTGCATAGATCGGACACAAAATTTCTAATAATTCAAAAACTGACGGTAGCCCGGGTTAACTATGACAATCAGACGTCTAACACCTCAGTCTGTCCCGTGACCATGAACGCTGTAAAGGGTTCGAAACGTCGGGAATTAAAATTAAAAATAAACGCGATAAATCCGTAAAATTAGTTTCATTTACATTTCATAGTGTTTTGAAGTTGGTTTTGTTAAAATACGTGAAAAGAAACGTTAAGCCTCCATTTTGTTCACAATGACCAATAC